TGTTTTTGCCGTTTGTTTTTAATTCAGTGTACCTGTTTAAGGTTGATTTGTAGTAACTTCTAACATAGAGATAGTAGCTTTTCATTAGGGTCATTGATTCATTCTTTAAGTAGTTATTGAGTGTCTACTATATACTGTGGAGGCCAAGAAAAACAAGGCTGTACCCACCTCGAGTCTAGCCCAATTTCCAGAGACAAATAACTCAGTTCCTTAAGCCCTAATGTCCCCCTCCCCTCCATAAACAAAACTGAAGGAGGCTGAGGTAGAAGGAAAAGTAAATAAAGTTAAATTTCTTCTAAACCCAAATCTTACTAACAAGGACGCTTGATAGCAAGAATGTGACATTCCACCAGGAAACTCCCAATTGTCTTCATGCTGGTGCCTCATTAAAGGGAAAAACGGCCTTGGCTTGATAGTAACCAGGCCTTCAATATCCTGACAGTCTTCTTTACCCTGCTAGCCCTTCTGAACAACCCCTTTGTCCTCACCCACCGCTGAGTCCACCCCTACTCTGCTTTTAAAAACTCTGACTGTAATCTGGCTCGGGGTCCAAGTCCCTACTCCACTGTGTCGGGTATCCTTGAGCCCAAGCTAAAGCTTGTCAAATAAACCCTCACGTGATTGCATCGGTGCTTGGCTCCTTGGTGGTCTCTCAGATGCGAAAACTGGGGCACAACATTACTAGTGCTGGTAACATACTGATTAACAAAACAGGTATGGATATTACAGTCTGATGGGAGGCACAGACATTGAAGAAATGGTCAGATGCTCAACTGTAGAATTAAAATTGTGATCAGCACAAGCAAGCAAGAGGGTCTAAACCTAGACTGGGAGATTAGGGAGCATCTGTACACAGTCCTAGAAATGAGGAAGATCAGATGACTTGGAGGAAAAGAGAGAGCAAGATGGCAAGAAGGTGCCAAGCAAAAGGCAGTGGCGGTGGAGATGAGCGGTTGATGGGGTCCTGAACTGCAGAACCTTGTAGGCTGTACTATGATTTTGTTCTTTATCCTAAGGGCTCTTGGAAAGTTTGGGTGATTTACAGGCTGGGGAGTGGCAAGATGAAATTGACATTTGCATTTCATGAAGCTGATGCTGCCATTAGTGTAGGGGGGCCAGGAGCACTGGAAAGATTGTGAATCTTGCTGGGGAAGAAAGACAAGTATGCCAGGAAGCAGAGGCAGCTCTTGTCTCTGAGGCAGAGACACTAGCGGCTGCCTTGTGGAGAAGGCCAAGGAGGGATGTTCCTCAGGGAACCCATGTCAAGGGTTTGACTGGTTCTTAGCTGTTGTTCAGGCCAGTGTCCTGTGATTTTGCTTAGTTAAATTAGACAGGTGGTTCGGTTTGGGTCTGTAGTCAAGCAGCAGTGATTTTTTTTTTTTTTTCTGTTCTTGTGCCAGCCTCCTTTTGAAAAATAAAGGTCTTATAGTATGCAGTCTTGACTTTTTTCAACTCCCAGAGTAATTTCAAAGCACTCATTAGATATTTCCTCTCTACAGCCTGCCGGCATTTTACATTTCTGAAGCTAGAGGCATATTTTATATCAAGGGCTCAGTAAATTGTTATGTTGTAGTGAGGCTTGCTGGTTATTGGGGTTATGTTCTGTATATTTGGATTTTGTCTAGTTCTTAACTACAGTTTTCAGTGTAAGCTACCACAAATTTTGAAACTTATTTTGGTGAGAGAAAGTGTGCATGTGCATGCGAGCAGGGAGGAAAGGAGGGAGGAGAGGGAGAAAGAATGTGAAGCAGATTCCGAGTTCATCCCAGAGCCTGATGTGATATGACCCATGAGATCATGACCTGAGCCGAAACCAAGAGCCAGACACTTACCTGATCCACTCAGGCACACCTGCCTGATGACCTTTTTGATAAATGGTCATAAGTAAAACAAATTTCTTAGACTAAAGAATAAAGGAATTTGATGGAGTTCCTTATATCCAACTGATAAAAGGGTTGGGCATTTTGAACATAATTATGGACAAAACAGTATTAATATAAAATTATAAGCACTCCTAAAAGTTTTTGTTTAAATCTTAAATATGTTGCTGTGTGGCTAAATATATGTTTTTTTTTTTTTTT